GTCTGCCGTCAGTCTTCGATGTTCAGCCGGAAATCTCCTGCGCCGGCTCCTATATGTCCTGCACCCTGCCCCGGTGCACCTACTCTTCCTTTGAGGGCGGAGTCGTCGGCGGTACCACAGGTGGTGGTGTTGTTGGTTTCGGTCGTCGTCCAACACCGGACACTTCCGTTTGGTTCGGTCGTTCCCACTGTCGGCCTTATCGAGAACCGTCTGGTGCGCTTCTTCTTCGACCTCCTCGCGGTGGCTGCTACCGCAGGCTGTTCGTGGACCTGTTGATAACAATAATTCATAAATTATAATGTTTTCGCAGATTATACAACGACAGAACAAACTTTAAAAATATAAACCTCATTCGTTCCCCCAACCTWCCTGCAAAACTACACGCTACGTGTTGACACCTGTACGAAAGAATCACAATCACCAGCACAAGAAGATRGTTTGATGGTTTCTGTAACCCACTAATTATTCCTCATCATCAAACACCCTCCATCAAGCTGCTGCACCTACCGCACCCCCTCAGTATCATACAGCATAGTACCTATTATTCGAGAAACACTCAAAATATGAAACTAAATGCTTAAATCTCAACCAACGATACTCACCAAAAAAAAAAAAAAACTCGAGAAAAGTAAAGATTTAACAATAGCTATAATCGATTTGATCTCTAAATCCAATTTAATATATAAACAGTACAATATTATAAAGCCGCCGACAAACGGTAAATAACTTAACTAATATTAATGCATTAATTAATTTTTATAATATTATAATACATTCATRAAGTGATAAAATCTACTTTTTATGTTAATCTAGTTACTACCAAATGTAACCTTAAGAGGACGCCACATCTATATATGTTGTCTACGTCTTATAAGTGCGTAACATGGCAAAAACGGTTTCGCACGGGATAGAATTGAGAAAGCTACAGTTATAATTAAGAAATGAAATTTTCATTTATATTATAAAAAGAAGAATTTTGTCTGTATTTTACAATATCGTTTCTATTTTTTTTAATATCAGCTCTTACACAAAAAAAGTTCTTATCGTTTCATAATACATTATTTTTGTGTTTTTTAAACATGAATAATAACTTTTTTTTTTAGTTCTGATGTCGAAAAAATAAGAATGATCTTGCCCAGACGAAATTCTCTTTTTTATATGCTGAAAATTTCGTTTCTTAGTTATAACTGTAGCATTATCGGTTCTTTCCCGCGTGAAACCGCATGTTATGCACTTGTAAGACGGGGACAACACATGCRGATGTGTCATCCTCTTAATGTTGAATGAATCCTAAAATGTAAAACGTAAAATAAAAAAAAGTGAGCTGTCGAAGGATATCTGACAGGATGTGCAAAATATCGTAGTTATTTTTCGCAGGAAATATGCATGAAAATTGAAAGAATGATTTAGTAAAGGAAACAAACATGGTTGCATAATCAAAAACAACATTTTCAGATTCTGTACGATTAATAATATKATTTATTATATTAAAGGTGCATTGGATGTTTCACATCAGAAATATATGTATTATGTAAGCTACGAGAGAATAAACTTTACTTCACGTGGACTTYATTATTATGCAGTAATCGGTAAAAAATAAGTATACTGCATGAAATCTTCCATAAATTTCAGAATAATGTATGTATATTGAGTTTAGTTAATAATATAGTACATAGATATGGCCAGGTGAACTGCAGTATATTATAATAAATATAATTMAATTGTAAAATTTCAAGGCTTCGATTCATTAAAGCGATGTCCAATAAATAAATAGATATACATACTGTATTAATTACTTCCATAATTATTATTGTTTTTATATAGAGATTTTTTGCCTAACCATTAATTTTTTTTTTTTAATCATCCCGCGGAAATAAGGCCATTGGGAAGGGGGTAGTACTGTAGGTTCTTATGGAACTGTAGGTTGGTTGTACACGTGGGTGAAAGTTTTTGGCAGAATTTCTATTGGGGCACCCGTAGGTTTATGCCATGCCCCAGAGTGGGGGATGGCGGCACTTGTTTTCCGGACACCGTGACTTGCCCGGAGAAAAATACCGCCGATGGTCGAGGATCGTACCCGGTCCGGCTGAGCCACAGCCGACGCGGTAGACCACTCGGCCACCTCGTCCCCCTAACTATTAATTATAGGTAGGTTAAATATAATATTGTAGTAATACATTTTTAAATTGTCGTCGATTGGACAATATACCGAATTGGTTTGATCGCAGTTTAAATATCTGATATTTAAGAAATAAGGTACTAAGTACGAGTGCTAAGTATATAGACATCTATATCAGAGAATAAAATATAAACCAATTATAGGCTAAAATTCAAATAACGTTTTTCATATTATGATCATATAAAAATTTAATCAAACTGCCTACATTTTTCTTTCTGTTCACGACAAATGATTTGCATCTCGACAATTAGTGATGTCACACTCACGTCTTCTTTATCTTTATTCAATGGTTTATTTGAGTGGTTTTTGTTTTAAGCGTGTTAATAAGAACCTTGTTACGCGCGTCAACATTTGTAAATAGATTCCAAATCTATTTTCCTTTAAGAGGACACACTCGCATGTGTGTTGTCTCCGTCTTACAAACGTGCAACATGATGGAAAAAACTGTTTTGCGTGGGACAACTTTACTACCTACTTCTGTATAAATAGTAGAATCACCAAAATTTTACAACACATACAGAAAAACTTTATCTATGTCGTAATGTTTTTACTATCTGAGTAACATAAATACATTAAAGTTATCAATTTGAGAATATAKTATATGCCTTTTTATGTTTTCATTTAATTACTAAAAAWTATTGGTTAGTGCTAWCAAAATCAAAAAATATTGAATAAATATTTTACAAATAATCAATAAATTATGACACATATAAAGTTCTTCCCTATGTATTGTGGAATTTTAATAATTATGCTAAATATACAGATGGAATGAAGTTGTACCGCGCTAAACAGTTTTTACTATTTTGTACATATTTACAAACCGTAGACAACACATGTGGGTGTAGCGCCTTCTTATAATAACGTATTTCTTCAAATAACGATTTTTGTACATTTTAAAAGTAACTCAACGATCTTTCAAATAGTTATTGATTTTTTTTTACAATTTTTAAGGAGTGTCCAATTTTTTTTTTCAATTAAAAACCTCATGATGAAATGTGGTTTTTTACAATTAATTATTTATTGGATAATTTTTTTTTGAATGTTAATGTAGCTAACCCAAAATTCAAACGAGTAGTCCTAACAATACACAATATACCTAAAACAAATTTAATATCGGATATCATAGTATTTATAAGAACTTAAATATTGTTATATTATATTATTATTAATCATTAAAATTTTCTAACTTTCAATTTGATTGTAGGCATATTATATGAGAACATTTAAATCCGCTTCCTGCTGTCATATTTCATTACGTTGCACATTTTATGCGGATACACGTTCTTTACACCACGTTAAATGACCCACAAATCTTGGTTACTATAATACACTCGAGTGTGGATTTATTTCTAAATATAGTTACCGCGTTTATGGTACCGGCGTCGGTGGCCGGCGTCGTCGTCGCGTTGGTTACCGTAGACGACGTGGACGATACGATGGACGTCAGCGACGAGTACTGCCACGATTCGCCGGACGACCGCCGCGGCCGGTCCTGGAACAACGTGAAAAGCGGTGACCGACGTTCGTGCCGGATAACGGAAGCAAATCCGCCGCCGGTTACCACCGGCCGGTTGGTGACATGGTGCGTTCCGGACGACAGCGGTGGCTGTTTTCCGGTGACGGACGAACTGTCCAGTGACCGTTGCAACGTCATCAAAAAGTCAGCCACGGCGATGGTGTTGGCGCAGTGCGCGAGCACCGGGTCCGGACTGGACAGCCGCCGGTGTCGCGGGTGTTCGGGTGCCGACGATCCGTACACATGCGGGTCGTGCACCACTTGCGGACCGTGTGACCAGCGGTGGTGATACTGCACCGGTACGCTGCTGCGGTTGATCGGCGCCGTACCGTTGTATGTAGACGTCGTAGACCCGTAACCGTAACCCTGGTCGTCGTTCAGAGACAGTCTATGTCTGGGATCGTTGTTCCAGGAATGACCACCGCCGCCGCCACCACTGCCGTCGGCCAACTTCTCGGCAAACCACTTTGGTGCGATGTTGTTGGACAGAAAGTTGAACGCGGCCGCTGACATGCGACGCAGCTTCGGTACCCGCGGCTTGTTCTGGCCACCATTGCCGTGTTTCGTGTAATCGTTGAATCTGCAAAAACCGATGGCATCGTAAAGCACGGTAAGATAAATAATAAATTTAATTTTTTTTTTTTTTGGAAATATAATTGCGTGTTCACGAGGCAATGTTTATTTATAGATATTTTTCCACCAAAGCTATCGATATTTTATATTATTGTATTAAATTATAATATTAAGCTATACAAATACAATAATATCGATTGGAAATTATTAAATGTATCACTCGTCATAAAATTTAAAAATCATATTGTATCATATTTGAAACAGATCTCGAAATCACACAACGCACTATGCGACTAGTCTATTTACTTTAAACGCGCACAGTTTATACGGTTATATAGAATAAAGATAGAAATAAACATTTCTGATTTACATGTAAATATAGCTTTGGTTATATCTACTTTATTTTAATTTAATTACATTTAGGCCTTAGGGTAATGTAATTATACTTTATAGTCTATTTTTAGCAACGATTTTGAACAGACTTCGTTAGAATAGGTCGTATATGTATTGTATTTATTCAGTAAACAAATAAAAGGTTTAACAAAGCAAAAATAGCATTGCTTTCAGTAWTCATCAACTATTTCGTTTTTACTACAACGCATAATTATTTAGTCATAACGAATTTATTGTGACGAGTTGAGCTTAAAACGTGCTGAAAAATTAAGCGATTAAAGTCTCCGATAGATCAATTGTATGCGTTTAGATACGTATATTATGTAATGTTTGAAAATGTCATGATATTAAAATCGTAAAACATTTCAAAAAATATTTCACGCATTTCAAAAATATTTCAGCATTATAATTATTTTATTTTTATTTTTACGTATATTATKGTCATAACTTACCTACACAATTTTATAATATCGGGGATAACAATCACTAACTACTCATTAGTGATGATTTTTTTTTAGTTAATTTTTGTATAATTAATCATCATTATTATTTGTATAAGAAAAAATTTTAATGTCTCATGTTTTTGTGAAATTTCACAAGAAATAATCCATACTCAAACACTACCTATTTGTAATATTGTGGATTGTAGGTAGTTAAAATTTATTATATTTTCATGAATTAGTTCGGAGTGTTCGGACGATAATGACTCGTTGGTAGTTGTACACAGGTAGCAACATTAATGGTTTACTTACTTTTTAAAATTTTGGTCGTCTGCTCCTCCACCCCACGTGTCGTACTCGAAATACGAATTCCTGTGTTTGGCCCCGAAAGGGTTTTCCCTGTTCAGCATGTCGCCGCCGACTGTCCATTCGTTCTTTTCGCTGGCCAGAATGTCCTGTTTCGTGAACCCTTGCACACCCTCCGAGAACGACATCGCTTTTTTCTTGCTCTATATATACGCATAGTTGCAATATAATAAATTATTATTAGAAACAATTATCTTATACTATTTTATAGAGATGTTTCCCTACACTGCTCGAAGCATGATAAATATTATTATGWAAAGAGTATGAAAAAAATATTTTTTGTCACATCTTTGCMAAAGTTGAATTTTCGATGATACCGTCGAACGGTATTAAAAAGTGACTATTTTAAAGGAGGAAAACAGTATCGTATTTTTATTTTTATTTTTTTTTAAATTGCCAAAACTGGTCCTCCCTCCACTGACACTTTCATCTTTCAAAACACTCTGGGCTATGCACTCACCGAATTTGTAACATCTGGATGCATGTGATGGTGATGGGTGGGTTGCTGGTGCTCACCCTGCTGGTTGGGAACGGCCGTCTCCAGCGCGTCGACCACCCGRGACAGGATCTCGTAAGACGCTATGTCGGCGCCGAACGTGGCCTCTTTGTCGATGTGCGCCAAGTCGATYTCGGACGTGGCCTTGGTGCGCCGGAGCAGMGATCGCATTTTGTTCTGCGACAGKGCCCGCCGGCGTTTCATCCGGTGCTTCTCGAACCGCTGGCGCACCGTCTCCTCATCCTCGTCGTCGGACGTCCGGCGCGTCACAGGAGCTGCCACYGGTACCTTGCACAACACTGGCCACTCAGTCAGGTTCGGCGCGCTCCGGCTCCGCCTCAGCGGTTGATCGCGTGATAGCGCCTCTTTCTTGTACACCGGCTGCAAGGGAGACAATAAACGAGCATATCGTTAGGACGTTATTGTTGTAGGTAATTGATTGTTATTATTGTTGTTGTTGTTAAATTGTTATGCGTAATAAGGTTCTGGTATACCTCATCAACCCGGTTTCACCCACCATTTTGGAATTTGAGATTGCTTACCAAATTAAAATTGTATTTAATACATATTCAAGTTTTTGTATTTATTAAGGGGAGGGGGTATAGAATTTTTTTTAAATATTGATAACTTGATGATATTGAATAATTAAGAAAAGTTAAATAGAAATTCTTCAGATTTTCATTGCCATGACCTCAGCAGTCTATTTTATATGCTTATATACATATAATGAAAATTATGAAAATCAAAATATTGATTGACGAATCAATATTAAATTTAGTTTTAATTATTAMAAGATTTCGAATAAACTACCTGATAAAATATCTGTGTTTAGAATTTAAAGGAATCAAATATTATTAGTTAATTTTTATTTCTATTTAATSATAAAACTATTAAAATGTGGTGTAATATGTTAATAAGGATAGTAACTTTTGTTTTGCTGGTTCACATGATCAACAATAATATGATAATTATGTACGAATTATATATAAATATATACGAACTTTAAACTTCAACAGGTATGACTCATTGAGCACGCGTCTGATGTAAACGACGTCCTTGGTGAACTGGTGCCAGATTTTCGAATGGGTTTGCTTGAGCCGTTCCAAGAACAGGTGTTCGAGCGTCTTCGACCGCATCGCCCTCGATATGAAGCTGAGTATCATGAACAGATAACCAAGACCGAACATAATCCAAAACACCAGAAACACCTTGTACGCATCGTACCATATTCCTATGTTGACTTTCTGCCCTGAAACACGCAATTACACAGTCGTCCAGTTATAGTCAAAGGTAAGTATTACTAGTTAAAAAGTTATTTTTTTTATAACTTTCTAACTTAACTATTGTTAGTTTGTTTTCTAATTAAATTATGAAATTGCCTAGTTTAATTGACTGTTAAAATTTGTGATTTGTGATCTTTTTTTACCATCCAGACCTAAATAAACATGTCCCWAAAATTGTAACACAAATTTTAAGGAGGCATATTTGAAAATATTTTATATACTTGATATGTACTTGTATTTGCATTTGAATACTTGTCGGTAAATGTATTTAAATAAGTAACCAATATTTCGTTCAAGACTTCAAGTATTCTTAACAATATTACTATATATGATATTTAATAATAATWATTATTATCTTTCAGATTTTTATTTCATCAAAATTTCTATCGATGATCATTAGTTGTTTACTGTCAAATKTKGTGCTTTACCGGCAACGTAGTCTCCGTAGCCAATGGTGGTCAATGTGACAAATGTAAAGTATACGCTCTCGTCGAACGTCCAGTCTTCACAATAGGATATTAGTCCAGCCGGGAGGAAGATGAAGACAATTATTCCGGGTATCAGGTATGTTACTATGTCCAGGATGAGGCTCAGTTGGGGTCCCATCATCCGTTGCGTCTTGTAGCTGTAATGAGCTCGAAGAATCTGCGTTATATTCGAGAGAAAACATTAAAAATTAGTAATTAGTTCGYCGATCATTTAAYTGTTAAATACAGTACACCTCTTTCGGTCTCTTTAATAAATTATAGTATAAAACCGGAAACGAGTTTTTCGCCACAAATGTTTTAATACAACAACATTTTAGTACTGCAAAACTGTTTTTTCTTAACAACTACATGACTACGTAATATTATTTGACCGTAAGAATTACTCGCCAAAAACAAAATTGATTCCATGTACCTACCCGTCTCATTAGTCATTAAAATGAAAAAATGTTCGAGGGACACTTATGAATTTCCTTTTTGCTCACAAAAATCGATTATTTTTTTGTTAATATATTATTATAGGCAGTATTGATTAGATTTCAGAAACAAAAGATAATTCTTGGTGAAAATATTTCCGATTCAAATTCAAAACTATGCTAAAAAGTTTACGGCGCTGGTAAGTTACAGTTTTGCAAAAAATAAATTACAAAAATGTTAAATTTAAAAAGAAAAGGAACGGAAAATCGTGTTTCGAGCGYCAAATATGATGTTACTGAGATTTCAAATGAAAAGGAGCGTTATTTTATCTTCCGAACCGAGCTGAAATATTCATGACTTCATGAAAATGGCAATTTAGAAGTTAACAAAAAAAATATTGTTGTTTTGGTCATTTTTTGT